GTATTATACTCATAGACACAGAGGTGAGAATTTAAAACACATATTCGGAGAGGGATGGGACACAGTTCAACCCACGACACAGCAGATTACCAAACCAAACCAGATAACTTTACTGAATCGGTGAATAGCTGCCCAAAAAAGTTCCTGCGTTGGGGTTCGTTATGGGGTTAACAAAAGCAACACGCCAGCAGTAGTTGTGTTATGGTTCCATTTTTCCTCTTCGGCATGTGTGCTTTGTAATTTTGCACATGATTCAACCCCCAGTGTATGTACTCTGAAAGCAGAGGCACGGACCTCCATTTCAACATCCCGACCAAATGGGACTGCGGCAGGTGCAATCACTTCTCTTTTTTAACAATTTTATTGGCAATTCTTACACCTATCATACAATTCAATGGTCCAATCATATCAAGAAGTTGTACAACCATTGCCACAATCAATTTTAGAATCTTTTCTTCTTCCTTGTACTTATTGTTAGTGTAATTATTTTTTCATTGCATGGACTTCGACATGTGTAGTTCAGTGCCATTGACATACTCTTCTGTTGTGCAACCCTTGATGATATCCTTTTCCAAAGTATTTCACCACCATTAACATAAACGCTGTGCCCCTAAGCAAAAACTCTTCCTCCTTCGTCCAAGGTGATCATTGGTCAACTTTGGTCTCTTTTTTTCAGGAGTAGTCTTCTTGACATAAAATTCACATATCATATACTTCCATTGGTAAGTCATTTCTAAAAAGAGTTTATAGACATCATCACAATCAGTTCTAGTGATAGAATCAAGAAATTTATCTTTGACGAGGTCTAATTTTCAGTTAGCACATTGACAGGGGCATATCAGTAGTTTAGAATTAACCTTAACGGTTCTTAAATAGGAGGTATGACACTGTCCTGCTTAATCAGCGCATTGGATACACTACCAATAATTTGTTCATGGGAAGAAAATGACCCAAGCTAAGACAACCAATCCTGATCAGTGCTAGTTATAGGACTGTTACTTGAGCAACCAGGAAAGAGCTATTTCCACCCCAGAAGACTGGAACCACATGGCAAAATCACCTGCCTATGAATGAACTAAAACAGAGGGAAAGAGTTGTGGAATGAGATTGTTATTGTTGTTAGCTACCTTTGAGCTACTTCGGACTCAGCAAGCCCGTGTACAAACAGAATGAGACACAGCCCGTGCTGTGCC